GTGTAGCTCATCCCACTTATTTAGCAATTTCATTTCAGGAAGACCAAGATCTAGATCCTGAACTACAAAAAAATTATGAATAAAAGCGTTCTCTCGCATCCTATCAAAGTTGCCTAGCAGAGGTTGACCGTATAAGATTTTTAGTTATTTTTTTTATTTATTATGTTATTAAAACTTTCTTAAAAAAACATTCTCGTAACTCTCTTGGGCATCCTGATTTATTGTATAAAAAATATAAATCTTAAACTCTTAATTGCTTATGTTATTACAATATATATTTATTTTTTTAAGTTTTTAGACTTTACATCTTCTACTTTTGTTTAGGTTTCTTGCAGCAGGCCAGACTAACCCATTTTCTTCAGTCTCTTGAAAACAATACATATGGTTTTTTTTTTTTTTTTTTTTTCCTTTAGACAAGTTAAAGGATGAACATGTTTTAAATTTTTTATCCGGATGCTTGCTGTGTTTTAAATTTTATGTTTAATTTCTCGTTTAGATTTTCCTGTTGTCTGAGCAGATTGGTTATGGATACTTAAAGTTGCTAAACACACATATATATCTTAACATAACTAAATAAAATATTAAAGATATTTTTAAAACATTTATTAGCAAATTACAGTAAAACCATTACGGGTTAAATCCTGGAGCAATAGACGGCTTAAAGCGGAGAGTGAGAGAGTGAGTGTTTGGAGGAAGCGAAAGGGAAAAGGAGATTGATCAATTAACGAGGAAATGGAATCAATGGCTAAAGTCAATTATTTGATCGGAGAAGATGAATTCTTGGCCTGCTGCGGCAGTACGGAGTTTGCCAAACAAATGGCAGCAGCCTCTCCTTTCCCATCCTTGGATCAGGCCATTGTCGCTGCTAGAGACCTCTGGTTCAACAAGGTTTTTTCATTTCTTTCTCTTTTCCTTCCCCTCACATTAAAAATGTTTAGTGAATTTTTTTTTGAGTATTTTAATCTTCTAATTTTCAGGTCGATGTTAATGAGTGGCTGCAAGCTTTCTCTGCGCATCCTCAAATCGGCGATTCACCTCCATCTTCACATCACTCCACCTCTGCTCAGTTTGCTTCCTCTCTCTCTCAGGATTTCTCTTTTCCTTCTTTTTCTTTTCTCAAGTGATTTGGTTATCTGGATACCCAAATTGGCCCCATAGTTCACGTCTCTCGGATAATCAATATGCGACGGAAGATTTTTTTCCCCTTTTGGATAAAGCGAACAAAATAAGAATGACTGCAAAGAAAAAAAATTAAATTTTCCGTGAATTACTGATTTTATGAGTGTTACAAATCATACCTGGACAGACCCAGAAAAAAAGTGCTTTCTAATTATTAGATCATAAGCTTGGTGTTTGAATTCTCTGAGCTTCATCCCCCATTAGTTACTTCATCAATATACACGTACACATATATATAGATATATGTTACTCCTGTTTTTCGTCCCCTAACCCAAATCTAGATTTCGTCATGATCTTTTTTTCCCTTAAGAACACAGTGATCTGTAGCTTCAGTTTTGTTGCAGGTGGAGCAAGGGGGAACAATCGACTGCTTTAGCAACTGCAACCAGTTCTAGTTTACAGGTTGGGATTCTGTTTAGTTTTCTGTCAAATCAAATATGGTATGATGCTACCAAAGAACCTGTCTTTGTTGACTAAATAAAGCTTTAAGCACTCTCCCTTGTAGAAATATGACTTTTGCTTGGCCTTCGCAGGAACTGGTTGAATGGAATTCTCGTTATAGACAAAAATTTGGATTTATATTTATTATATGCGCATCTGGAAGAAGCACCACTGAGATACTCTCTGAATGAAGGTAANAAGATGTTACATCTAGATCAGTATATGAGAGATGACGTAGCTTATTTTATCTATGAGTAACATAACTGGAAGACTACTATAGTGAGGCACACTAGATGAGCCCAAAGTGCTCAAGTTGACTATTTTAGGATTAGGGAAATGTTTCCATTTGGTTGTCTTTGCAGAGAATGTGATGGACATGTTGAGGGCAAAAAAAATGTTCTTCATTGTCTTTTGCAGAAACGGTACCCTAACAGGCCCATAGTAGAATTTGAAATTGCAGCACAGGAGCAGATGAAGATAACAGAATTACGTCTTGCAAACCTCTTTTCGACAAAAACAAATGCTAGCATGAGTAGTGACCAGTTTCCAGTAACGACTGCTGCGAAGAAAACAGAAGGTACTCTCGAGAAAACTTGGCCTTTTCCCTCATTGTAATGAAGCTGTTGGTACACTCTGCAATCTGTTAGAACAAAGAAATAAATAGCTTGAAAGTGGTGCAATGGTTCTTAATGTATATATTCTTAAAGCTCATTTTTGCAATCAATACTAAAAATTTTACTCATCATTGGATGTGTCTATTTTCCTTTTCCCTTCACAACTTCCATATCTTATTTCTCCTTTTGGTGGTTCAAGTTCCTGATTTCTTCCAATTCATTGCTACTCTTAATATGAGTTGTGTTTTTTTCTTTTCAACTTTAGAAGATCGTATGAGCATCATTGGAGGGCATTTAACTGCTGTATCCGAATCTTCAGATAGAAAAGCATCTCAAATTCCAGTTCGGACTCGTCCACCCATTACAACCCATGTCTTGGATGTTTCTCAGGGGTCTCC